GAATTTATTTGCCTTTAAAAAAAGAATATCAAAAAGCAAACCCCACGAAAAACCAACTACTGGGGGGTTGTTTATTTGTTTTTAGAACTTTTAAAAACTTTTCCTGACTTACAGCAGCTTGGCACAACAATTAAGCGTACCTGCTCAACGTGTGAGGCGTACTGCTGCAGTGCAGAGGAGGAAGAGAGAGCAAGTACTTTGGCGTAACACACTTTGTTGCATGGAAGTACAGCTCCGGCTGGATCCCTGCACCTGGAGGTTCTGAGTTGCAAAATCGTGTGGTGGGGCTGCCACAAGCGTTGTCTGCGCTGTAATACTGGCCGGGTCTTGAGACAGAATGGGTCTAGAAGTTGTTCTGGTATTATTTCCTTGTGTATTCTAGCTATTTTAAGCCCCTTTTAAAGCTGAACAGCTTTTCTAATATGTCTTCTTTCCTTGTGATCTCAGTGATATTTGAACTGTTCCTTGCTTTTCTTTAAGAACGCTTGGGTTTTTTTTATTCCACTTTCATAGTTTTTGCTGTTCCTTGCTTTTCTTTAAGAACGCTTGGGGTTTTTTATTCCACTTTCATAGTTTTTCCTTCCCAACAGCAACAAAGTAGGACTTTGAGCAACCATTCTGAGAATTCTGTCAAAGAGGTTTCATTCAGAACTATATTATAATTTAAGAGAATAGGGCTATTTCAGTTGGAAGGGACCCACAAGGACCATCTAGTCCAACTGCCTAAGCAATTCAGGGCTGACCAGAAGTTAAAGCATGTTGTTAAGGGCATTGGCCGAATGCCTCTCAAACACTGACAGGCTTGGGGCATCAGCCACCTCTCCAGGAAACCTGAGTGTTTGACCACCCTCTCCGTAAAGAAATGCTTCCTGATGTCCAGTCTGAACCTCCCCTGGTGCAGCTTTGAGCCATTCCCACGTGTCCTATCGCCGGATCCCAGGGAGAAGAGATCAGCACCTCCCTCTGCACGTCCCCTCTGGAGGAAGCCGTGGAGAGCAACAAGGTCACCTCTCGGCCTTCTTTTCTCTGAACTAGACAAGCCCAAAGTCCTCAGCCGCTCCTCATAGTACGTTGCTTCCAGCCCCTTCACCACTTTGTTGTCCTCCTCTGGACACATTCAAGGACCTTCACATCCTTCTTAAATTGTGAGGCCCAGAGCTGCACACAGTAGTCAAGGTGAGGCTACACCAATGCTGAATACAGCGGGATAATTACCTCTAATGACTGGCTGGTTATGCTGTGTTTGATGCACCCCAGGGTGCAGTTTACCCTCTTGGCTGCCAGGTAAGCATTTATCTTCCATCCGTGATAGGCATTGCCGTGCTAGATGTAGCGAACAACATAAATGTCCTTTGATCCATTCTTAAATTTGTGTTTCTTTCATCTTTGTATGGATAACATAGAATCACAGAATGGTTTGGGTTGGAAGGGACCTTTAAAGATCATCTAGTTCCAGCTGTGGAAATAACAGCTCTGCTAATAGATGTAACTTTTAGCATGCAAATTCTTGCCCTTTTTTTTTTTTTTTTTTTTTTTTAAGTGGAGAAAAACTGAAGATACAGTAATTGTAATTTGTGTAATCTAATTGACATTGACATGTGGTGTTTTGCATTGTGAAACATGAGCGGAGTTAAAAGCTGGTTGTTCATTCCCTTGTGCATCCCTGCCTTGGAAGATAAGGGAGTAACCAAGGTTAAGTGCCAGTTGCTGCTCTGCCTGTAGGTCAGCACAGGGGGAGCTGAAATGGACTTTGCCAGGAGATACCAGTTTCCGCTGGTGTCAGAGAACTGACGCTACTCGAACGCTTAATCAGGACCAGGGTGGGGGCAAACGGTAGTTGGACATACTCAAAAGCTCATCCCTGCTAAATCCTTCAGCTTTCCTTCTTCAGTTTGTCACTGCCCAACCCATGGGACACACTCATCTCCCAGTTCTTCATCTCCCAATGACTCTTTGAAGCTGGCACATAAATGTGCTCCTGCTGGAATTTTCATACTTCCTTTGGCCCGATCATCCCTGCCTTTCTGCTGTCCTTGTACCAGCAGGAGACAAATACTAGGGAATGGCTAAAAAAACCCGGAGCCATCTCTGGCAGACGGGGGGGGTTTGACTATTTCAGCATTGAGGCCACATTTGTTGAAGCATGGATGTGTTGATGTGATATGTCGGAGTTGATCTATCACTGTTGCTGCAGATGAAAGACCCTACTCCTGTATGTCCTTCAGAGGTTCCCAGTGCCTGTCTGATGGCCTGGTGGAATTGCCAAATGCAGCCGAAATTAACCTAGCCGAAACAAAACAAAAGGTAGCTTTTCCTTTGGTTTCTGAATTGAATTGACGTAATTTTCAGGCAGACAGTGACCAGGCCAGCTCTATGGAGAGGGCAAGTCAGAGCAACGGTAGCAGGATGGCCACTTCTAGCAGCTGTGAAACATTCACTTCAGTCTGACTTGAGACTTATCCTTCACTCTGTTTCTCTCCTCTCCATTCTCAAAATTTTCTTCTCACACTTTCTTATTCCACTGTCCTGCTCTGAGTTATTTTGAGTTCTGGTTACTTCCTCGCTTTCCTGTAGCTCTACCATTGCCACATCCATTTCTCTTCCTCACCTCATTGGGTTTAGTTTCCTGACACTGAGCTTTCCTTTGTTCCTCCTTTGATCTGTGTCTTTACACTTTTCCATGGCTTGCGGGGAATTTCATTCACAGGCTTCTCGTTACATCTTGGCCTCCCTCCTCAGCCTTTGCTTTCTCTGCTCCCAGAATCTGTGCTTAGCAATTCCCATTCCTCCTTCTCTACTCTTTCCTCCAACTCCACACCCCACCCTGGTCCGTAGTTGTGTCCTTGCCTATGCTGATTGTTAGTCTCAGTCCGTACCATGACCATATTAATTTTTAATCCCCATTCTTCCAATTCTCTTTCTCCTCCACTTCTTTCACCATGTCCAATGACTTTTCCTTCCCCAGACTTTAAATGCTGTTTTCCCTTCATGAACCAGTCTCTGTGTCTATTATGTTTCTGGGTGTCCTGCTTAGGCTGCAGTTCCATGAACGAACAGTTCTTTCACAGGAGTGCTGTGTTTTGCAGTATTCTTTTTATGCCTCTTAAGTTCCCTGATCCAGCTTATTGCATAGCCCACGCAAACAGTCGTGCCAGCATAACAGAGAGGAATTGGGATAGAATGCATGTGTGTTAGCCCTGGTGTTGGACAACATGTCAGTGGGACCAGTCTCCTTCCTTAAATAGTTTTTGGTTTACTAGTTCTTCCCAGCTCACAAAGCTGCTCCCAGTTTTCTCTCTTCCTCTGCAGTATCAGACTCATCAGACTGCATCTCAGTTTGCCTCTTTTACCTCAAGTGCTATTTCTTACCTTTCTGCAATTGAAGCTCTGCTTTCATGATATCAGGGCACCAGGTGGCTGGAGAAAGCTGTTCTGTGGGTTTTGCCTGCTTTTTGAGTGCTTTTTATTCCGTGGTGTTTCTCATACCAAAATGGGAGGCTTCTTGATAGCAGTCTTTATTCCTATTTATCATTCATCTGTTGGTTCCCTCTCACCTTGAACTTACTTTACCTTTATAGGCTGGGGTGTTGTGTTTTTTTTCCTTCTTAGTGCTGAAATGGTTTTGTATGTCCTGGTTAAAGTCTTTCCCATTAAAACAGAAAACAGCATAAGTGGCAGGTCTGTCTGGATGCTTTGTAACTGGCGGACTGTCCTTGTTCTGTGTCTTGTGCTAAAGACAAGCAAAAGCTTTATGAAGCTCGCTTGAAGGACTCAATCTCTGCCTAGCCTTTGTCAGCTAACAATGGAACCATAATCTGCATCAGGTTTTGTTTTGCACCATCAAAGAATCATAGCTGTTTAACTGGAGAGGTAATTTCCTGGTACCTTTCATTTATGCGATTTTATTGCACCTCATCTTTTCATCGAACCCTTGACTATTCATAAAGCTAACAATGTCTTTTCAGCACCAAAACATCTTTCTGTCATGTCAGCCTTGGGCTCAATGCTTGAAATACTAAAAGGAGGAATGATGTCTGCGTTTCAGGATACTAAATCATCAGTAGGATCAAATCTCCGGATATTCATGCTGTGTGTGTGAACTGGTGCTGGCCCTGCATGTGCTGCTCTGGATCTGGGAAGGCGTCTTATCGGGGCACTGTTGCTGGTCTTTGCTTACTCCAGCTGGCTCTGTGTTGATTGAGCCTGTGCGGGTGTCTGTGTTAAGTGTCTTCGTTTGGGGGGCATTTGCTGTTAGGAGGCTAAGCTACTTCTGACCCGGTGTGCGTGGTACTATATCCAAATGAGTCTATAGAGAGCTGTGCCTGCTGGTGGGGAGTGTGCCAGGGACAGCTCAGGCCTGTTAGCAATGTTAGCGTCTGAATTTTTCCTTTGCTGGGATATTGCCCTCCCTCCTCGTTACTCCAGAGCATGAAGGCTTGACTGGAGCATTGAGAGCTCCATCCACTGCTCTGGCCTTCTAACAGCAATGATTCTTTGAAGTCTGAATGCCTAAATCATCCGGTTTTTGGCAGAATAATTAAATCTGTGCCTGCTGTTCAGGCGTAGCTGAACTGGGAATAACCTTAAATGTTAAATCATTCCTAAAGCAGGCTGGCAATTAAATTCCACTAATCTGTAGTCTCCCATTCAGTGTATGGACAAATGACGTGATTCTTCACTAGGAAGCTTCAAATGCTATATTAAGGAGGTAGCTTCTTTTAAATATACCAGTTTCTACCATATGTATTGTAAATCAGTTGTTAGATTAAAAAAGGGCTTTCAAGTCCTGTTCCAGAAGGCACTCACGTAGTGATGTACTAATTTAATTCAGGCAGGGGTTGTTCATTGAAATATGGTGCTGAAAAAGTAACTTCTAAAAGTTTGTTTAGATATCTTCTCTAAATGCTAGACAGAGCAATGTTGAATAAACTTAATTCCAGGTCGGTATGTGTTTTGGGAAATACCAAGATAGATCATACTAATTTGAAATGTTTAATAAGTTTCCCAAATAACTCTGGATGTTCAGTTGCAGGGCCAGCGCTGCCTCCAGGCTATAAAAGCAGCTGTAGCTCAGAAACTCCTGATAGTGATGACGACTCAGAATCTCTTCCTCTACCCAGAGATGCAAACAGAGATTCTGAAGAGGAGACAGAAGGAGGTCCAGCACCCAAGTGAGTATGTTCTTAGGTTATTTGTATATTTACACTGCATTGTAAATGAAATGTCTGCGTAAATTATGAGTAAGGGACAGTATTATATAAACAGAAAGGTAAACCCTGTACCTGTGTAAAACCTGATGACACGTTCTGCATGTGCTTTGTGGTCAAGAATGTTCAGCTGACCTGCAGTGGAATTAAGTTATTTAGGACGATCAAATCCCTGTACCTCTCTGAACTTGAACATAGAGAAGTCTATGGGACCTGACGAGATGCATCCCAGAGTCCTGAGGGAATTGGCTGATGCAGTTGCCAAGCCACTCTCCGTGATATTTGAAAAGTCCTGGCAATCAGATGAAGTCCCTGCTGACTGGAAGAAAGGAAACATTATGCCCATTTTTCAAAAAGGGTAGAAAGGAGGACCCTGGGAACTACTGACCTGTCAGCCTCCCCTCTGTGCCTGGGAAGATCATGGAACAGATCCTCCTAGAAGCTATGCTAAGGCACATGGAGGACAGGGAGGTGATTCAAGACAGCCAGCATGGCTTCACCAAGGGCAAGTCCTGCCTGACCAACCTAGTGGCTTTCTACAATGGAGTGACAGCATCAGTGGACAAGGGAAGAGCTACAGATGTTGGCTGTCTGGACTTCTGCAAGGCCTTTGACGTGGTCCCCCACAACATCCTTCTCTATAAGTTGGAGAGATATGGGTTTAACGGGTGGACTGTTCAGTGGATAAGGAATTGGCTGGATGGTCACATCCAGAGCGTAGTGGTCAATGCTTGATGTCCAGATGGAGGTCAGGGATGAGCGTTGTCCCTCAAGGGTCCGTGCTGGGACCAGTATTGTTTAATAACTTTATCAATGACATAGTGGAATAAAGTGCACCCTCAGCAAATTTGCAGATGACACCAAGCTGGGTGGTGCAGTGGATATGCCAGAGGGACGGGATGCCATCCAGAGGGACCTGGACAAGCTTGAGAAGTGGGCCCATGTAAACCTCGTGAGGTTCAACAAGGCCAAGTGCAAGGTCTTGTGTTTGGGCTGGGGCAACTCCCAGTATCAATAAAGGCTGGGGGACGAAGGGATTGAGAGCAGTCTTGCCGAGAAGGACTTGGGGGTGCTGGTATTTGAGAAGCTGGAAGTGATCCGGCAATGTGTGCTCGCAGCCCAGAAAGCCAACCGTATCCTGAGCTGCATCAAAAGAAGCCCATGGCCAACAGGTTGAGGGAGTGATATTCCCTGTCTACTCTGCTCTGGTGGGACCCCAGCTGGAGTGCTGTCCCAGCACAAGACAGACATGGACCTGCTCAGGCAGGTCCAGAGGAGGGCCATGAGGATTATCAGGGGCCTGGAGCACCTCCCTTATGAGGATAGGCTGAGAGAGTTGGGGTTGTTCAGCCTGGAGAAGAGAAGGCTCCGGGGAGACCTTACAGTGGCCTTTCAGTGCTTAAAGGGGGCCTATAAGAAAGATGGGGGGCAATCTTTTCAGCAGTAGTTGTTGTGATAGGACAAGAAGTAATGATTTCAAACTAAAGGAAGGTAGATTTAGACTGGATGTAAGGAAGAAATTTTTTACAGTGAGGGTGGTGAAACACTGGCACAGGCTGCCCACAGAGGTGGTAGAAGCCCCATCCATGGAAACAGTCAACGTCAGGTTGGACGGGGCTCTGAGCAACGTGACCTAGCTAAAGATGTCCCTGCTCACTGCAGGGCGTTGGACTAGATCACCTATGAAGGTCCCTTTCAGCCCAAACCATTCTGTGATTTGTGTGTTTTGTTTTGGTTTTGCAATTAAATTAATAACATCCTTAATGTTTTGCTTGTTTATACTAAGGACAGACACCACTTATCGTGTATGTAGGTATTTGGTACTTGAGTTTTGCCCTGTTTCTGGTAAACTGCCTCTCATTGAGAGCTCTTAATATCTAATTATGGGTGTGAATTTATGCATTCAATTAAGTCAACTCTAATGAAGAAAACCCAAATTGTTTAACAAATAACAGGAGTCTGCGCATACTCTCATTTGGTAGGGTTGATTGCTCACAGTTGTTCAGAACTTGTGTGTGTTTGTGCTAGGCCTTGCATAAGGGACTCGAAGGGCATTGTGCCATCTTAATGAGTGATGGAGGAATTATTACTTTTTGCTTGTCTTATTCAACAGTTTTTCAGTTAATTAGAATTGAACTGAGAAAAATACTAGTCAAAATGCAGACAGTGTATAAAAATGGAGAAAGAAGTGTGCTGAATTTAAAGTTACTTTGTGACTAGTAAATGGTATTTCAACATCATACTACTCTTCTTTCTACAGCAAAAGCATTCTTAATATTTTTTCAAATGTCAGAGCATTTTTGGAGTGAAGCTTATGCTCCCAAATTTTTAATTGCTTCAAATTATTTTGGATCCTTTTGCTCTGTTTCCTTGGTAACAGAAAGATATTTAGTACATAAGACTGTCTCACATAATTTTATGGTTTTTTTTTTTCCTTTTTAAAATGTAGATAATTGCTATGCATGTCAAGGTAATTATTAAGAGAAATCTTTGTATTTGCAGAAAGCCAAAAAGAATTCAGGAAGACGATGATGATGATGGCTTTTTTGGGCCTGCTCTTCCTCCTGGATTTAAAAAACAGGATGATTCTCCAGAGAGGTAATTAAAACAGAATTATATTAAGGCTCTTTTCCTTGAAACACAGTTATTTTAGAGAAAATATTTTGTGGTACTATTACAGAACACTTTGGTTTTGCACTTCAGATACAGATGATTAGAATTGCTTCCTCCACATTCTGAGAACAGCAACAGCATTCCCTTGAAATGGAGCACACAGCCCTCCTAGCCCTGGTTGGAAGTTTGGAGGGAAAAAGAGCAAATGTGAATTGGCTGAGTTATATTTTGAACGTCAAATTTCTTCCATTTCTTATGATAGGTCTCAGATTAGTGCAGAAAAAATAACAGGTACAAAGACTCATAATTCTAGTTCATTCTAGGCTGTGAGGGAGTAGGGCAGTTAGCTTTTGTGTGGTGCAATACCATGCAGATTGTTGGAACTGTCCTAATCCACCCAGGATTAGTGTTTCTCTGTCTCCAGGTAGAAAACTAACCTGAACCGTGTAGGTTTCTAGAAATCAAGCTGTTAGGTTAGGCAATAAATAAGCATTATTTATAGCCTCCATCAGGAAGCTTTCCATTTGATTGCACGCAATTATAAAATACTTTGTGGAAAAAAAACTTACTTATGGATTTTCTGTGCAGAATTCAACCATGTCTTACAGCCTCCTAGTCTTTACGTCAATCTGTCCCCTTCCTTCTATAATTTGAAATGATAATCCATAGTGAAACTGGTACTTCCCAGGGGACGTTTATTGATGAAAGGTACAAAAGAGTCCCTTGGTCACTATGATCTTCCTCAGAGCAATAGGGAGCTGTTAGATAAAATATATCAATACCTACCTGTCAGGTATGAGTTTTCAGTTCTAGGGAAGTGACTCAATTTGTTGTTGAGCTGTGTAGTATACCATCTTGAACGAAATTTCAAAGTTGAAATTTTTTTTAGTTTGGATAAATTTTTACGTTGCTTGGCAGCAGTTAGGAAGACAAGAATTTATGTAACTAAGGTTATTTGGAAGTATTCTCTTTGTATCTGTTTGGTTACACTTTGCTGTAATCGACAAACGCTTTTGTAAACGTTGAGTATCATGCTCAGTGGGCTTGTTCGGTGCTTTGATGGTCCCAGGAGTAACTAATATTTTTTTCCTTGTGTTTCATATGCAGAACATGTTATTTTAATTATAAAATTTAGGAAGTCACTAAAATTCACGTGATCTCTAATAAAGAAAATAAATGCCTGTGCCTTTCAATATCAGCAGAGGAAGCCTTCTTGCTTTCTTGATTTTTGACATGAATACTCTTGTGGTTAAAAATGTTATGCCAAAGTTTGCAGAGGAAAAGAAGAAGAAAAGAGGTAGCTTGTAGTTTGAAAGTTAGTGAAATGATCAGTAACACAGGTGGTCACCCATTGTATAGTCTTAGTCTTTTGTATGTGTACCCAACCTTTATTTCTACTTAGCAGTTTATTTCCAAAATGGTGGATAACTTGCATTTAGACATAGAAGGCAAGAGTCTGCCCTGTGTCTGTGAGTACGAGCGATTAAAGGCACTTGCTGGCTGTCTGGGGTTTTTTGTCCTAGCTCACCATACAACTGCTCCGAGCACACACTGAGAAAAGCAGATTGAGCAGAGCTGCTTTGCGCCCAGCCCGATTCCCTGAATAGGTGGGAAAGGTGTGATGTGTGGGAAGAGCCTTGTCTATCTTCCACCCCCGCACACCTGGCAGTCTGGTTGTGCTGACACGATGAGGTGCGTTAGCTGTGCAGGGTGTAGACACAATGCTGTTAACTGTCTCCCCAGTGCAGTGTTGAGCAGATTGACGATCTAGCCATGAATAATTGGCACAAGTGCAGGCTGTTCGTTTCAATGTATGGACAGACTGTTTATTAGCTCTCTGTGACATAGTCGTTCTTTCAGAAAAGCTTTTGTTCTGTTACATCTTTTCCAGACTTGTTAAAGCAACATATTCATGATTAGGAGCAGCTCATGTGGCAATTTGCAGCTTGTTAAAAATTGCTTGAGTCATTCCAGCATTAAAAAAAAAATATATATATATATATATATATGAACAGGTTTCCTTCAACTTTGGAAAAGATATTGCTGTTTATCTATGTTAGACAGAAGTGCAGCACTCATAAATATTCCTGAAGTATTCACACATCAAGGTAAAGAGCAAAGGTTATCTTAAAAAATTTTAAGTTCTACATCAGAAGAATGCTCAAATGCCCATCTTGAAACATGCATTAGCAAGGACTCAGAGTCCAACAACAGGAAGTTGTCTTTGCTGTATATGAAATCCAGTATTCCTTAAATGAAAGCTTAATTCATAAGTTTGGGGTGCTTTTTCGAATGTGTATAGATAGATACTGCAGTTGCCAGAGCAGCAAAATGTGTTTAACAGAGTTTTATTTAGATTCACTTCACCTCTTCAGAGAGCCTTTGGACATCCAGGAAACTGTCAGGAATCATGTCGGCTGTATGCTGCTGAGGAAAGACCCAAACAACAGGGTTATTCATGTGGGGAAAAAAAAAAAAAAAGGCATAGAAATGGAAAGTGTGGGAGGGATGAATATGGAACCATTTTCTATTCCTTGGAAGAGCCTTTGAGCTGTGACAGAAGCAAGGCAGAGTATTTGAGATCTGCTCTTTTTCACAAGTTGCACAGATACAGCCCACAACATAGATGTTCTTATATATTTTAGTAGAAAGCTTTTTTTATCGTTTGGTTTAACTGTCTCTCCATGCAAAATAAAGGTACTTGTATGCTAAAATAAAAGATTATTTTGGCCATATCTGTATAGGTTTAAATTCAATCTCTTTAAACTATACTGGGAATTTAAAATATGCGCTTAACAACAAAGCAGTCAGGAAGGAACAGAGGAAAATAAAAGCTGTTTCTTTTTTGCTGCAGCTAGGTGGAAGTGGAACTTCAGATTTAACCCAGACTTCTTGCTTGGGTTTGAAACTTCACCAGTGCCCTTGTCCTGGCCTGGGCTCGCATTTACTGCTTGTGTCTGTCTGTGGTTGGCTTTCTACATAATTCAGTTCATGTTGTGTTACGTTTGATTGCCCTGAAGCTCAGAAGTTGAAGATCATAATAACAAACATAATCAACCAAAGTCTCTGCTGATCCATTGTGAGGATACTGTCACCTGGATATTTCTTCAGGTGAAAATTGTTTGCTTTTTTAATTAGCTTTTATTAGCTTCAAAGAATATGATAGTGGATTATTAAGGGGAACTTGTGCACAAAAGTCTTTTCAGTGCTACAGGCACAGTTCGTGATATGGTTTGAACTGGTGTCATCATTGAAAAGAGATTCTCACCTTTCTATGTTCCTGGAAACAATCAAATTATACTGCTTGCAGAGCTGCTGTGTAAAAACAAATTAGTGAAGTTACCTGGAATCACAGAACTTTTCTTCTCTCATCCCCACTCTGAGGGAAAATAAACTTAAAATCAGAGTAGTTCACTGATTCTGTTTATTGACGGACAGTGAAACTGTGGTGCAAGGCAAGAATTGTCTTTGTTGCTAGAGAAAGAGTAGCATCTATCTGACATCCCACCTTTCATTGCTCTTGAATCTGGTGAAGGAAGCTAGGGAAGAAAAAAGTGGGTTTTCGTGACTACATGCTGCAACTTTCCCGTTTTCTTGCATCCCAGCTATCTGCAGAGGTCCTCCTGGAAAACTGAGATGCTCTTCTTCAGTTACTTCTACGGGGTGCGCATAGGGGGCATGCTTGGCATGCGGAGGAAGCAGAATCACACTTCTCCTCAGCATTTGGTTTTTATTTTTATATTAATCTATAACATTTTTTTTCCTGCAGGAAACAGTGTAAGGCTGACATTTAATGTACTGTCCATGTTGGTTATGTTACTTTCTTTTTTTTTTTTGTCCCTCAACTGAAAACCAAGATTTTTATTTTTTTTTTTTTCTCTTCTCAAGGCCCATTATAGGTCCTGCATTACCACCTGGCTTTAGGAAACCTTCGCAGGACACCGGGAATAGCAGATGTTCCATAGGACCATCTGTTTCATCAGAGTTCTGCGCCCAGGTTTGTGAAAAGAGAAGCTGTTTGGTTTAGTACAAGCTATCTGAAATGCTTAAACAAGTAGGAGCCTGAAAAAGTCTACTAGACATATTTTTCAGCATGACAGTTTAATTTTAGACCAGAAAGTGTCTAGCATATTTTTTTCTGAGTCAAATGCTGAAGCATAAACAAGCCTTAAAAAAGAAAAAGGCTGGTCAGGTTTGTTGTGATTTTGGTAGTAGATGGATGATGCACTCACTGAACACAAGAGATCTAGGCACCCTAAACTGCAGTCACAGTAATTCTGCCTAATATTTTCCCATTGTTTCCTTTGGTGTGATGTCTTTCACACGTGAAGGTCTTGGCAAAGTTTGAATTCTTAAAGACATTGAAGAACGTGATGCAACCTGTTAGAATGAGAATATTTACCTATAATTCAAGCTTTTACTCCTTTGCTGATGTGGGAGTAAAATGGTATTTCACATATCTTCACCTCCTTAAAGATGTTGATTAGTAGATGCATTAAATAAGTTTATCCAAAAGAATGCAATCAAGAATGACACTAGAGTGTCACTAATTGTTCTTATCAATAGCAAGATGATACCTGTAACTGGGAGTAAGGTGGGGCAGGACAGTGACACTCACATGATTTTTCGTTCCGTCTTTTTTGACCGTTCTCGTCAGGTGAGGTAAAATCTGGGTAGAAGTCCTGTAGTCTAATCCCTAGCTGCAAAATAATGCATGGACCGTTAAAGAACATTCAGGAATAAGATGTGTGATGAAATACAGCTGGAAGTATGGGGAAGATTCAGCTCCCTAAACATGGGCCTCTGGTACCGTTCTGAGGGATCAGAGTCGTCTGCAGCGGGCTGGCAGATAGGGAGTAGCACCTTAGAGAGGCTTGCATCCTTCTTGAGCAGCACCTCTTAAGCCAGGCAGGATACCCTAAGGCATCAACAAGGGTGCTGGATACCAGTGTTTGGGCAATTGAATCTCTCTCATGCTATGATAAACTAAATATTAATTCCTTGTGAGAATTAACAGTTATTCTGTTTATTTCTAAAATATTTATATTTTTAAGTTTAACTCCCAGAGACTATGGGACTTGCTAGATGTGCTAGGAAGGAATGAGGTAAAGGCTGCTCTGGAACTTCACTTTTTTGATTAGTAATTGCAAAGTATATGGTTCTGCAGCCTCCTTCAGCGAGTGTTGTCATAATGCTTCATGAAGAATGATTGTCTGACATTTTTAAGATACTCATAGTCTTGTAATTCCAAATAACAATTAAACAATTTATCACAATGACAAGTCTCTTAAGGCAGGGATGTCAAAACTGGTCTGCTGATCTATTTTACAAACAAAAAAGTCTCTTTTCTCCTAAATAGATCTTCTAGCATCAGCTTTTTTAAAGCTATTGCAAAACTTAGCTTATTTCTTTTTTTTCTCTTCCTAATAAAAGTCTTATCTTTTTTTTTTTTACCTTTGAATATGATGAGTAATTTTTTTGTTGTTGTTTATTTTGTTTTAATTTAGAGGCAGCTTATTTGCATGCTTCACTTTATATCGATTTCCCCTTCCCCCTGAAGGCAGTATTTTTTAATGTTTGTTTAATTTCATCTTGTTTGAGGCAGGTGGTAATGGAGTGGATTGAACTTAAGACTAATGAGAAAGGAAATGAGACACGCTTCTTCAATTAAAACTCAGCGTGGAATTTGTCTTTCATTTTCAACTGCTTTACAATACAACTTACTATGAAAGTCTTACATCTTTGCATTTTTTATTCGTTTGTACACAGAAGTGTTTTACTACTTTGGTTTCTCAAGATGGTTATTCCTCTTTCCCACCAGCTCCTTCTTTTAAAAAAATAGAGAGAGAATGCAGTCACCTCATTCTCCAAACGTTAAAGCAATATCACAGTGGTGGAAAACTCTGAAAACTTGACTATGTAGATGTTTTTTGAGAAAAATGACAAGAGAAATTGGTGTTACCACCTTGCATTGATGGTGTTTATAAATGACCAGCTATTTCTCACCCTCCTCAGTCTTTCAGATCCATTTTGTGCAACTGATCATACAGCCATTAAATTTGAGAAGCCCCTTCTTGCACCCTGTGGCCCACAGCCATGTGTAGCTGTCTCTCATGCTGCCTGAAAGTTCCCTTCCCCGTTCATACCTGTGCTGACTCCTGAAGGCGGAGGGGGCCAACTGGCTTGGCTGGCTTGGAGCAGTGACATTAAAGCACGCCCGTTTCTGTAGCAAATGGCACACATGGGAATAAAGTGGCTTATTTCACACCTGCTGTCTTCCTCAGCCCGAATCCTGCTACAGCAGTGTGATGCCAGCAGCCTGAAGCATTAGGCTTGAACTCAGAGTAGCAGGATACCTTCCCTGCTCTCCTTCTCCTTTCACCCGTCCTCCATTCCCCGTGCTCCCACTAGGTGACTCTTCTAGTGAGGTTCTGTACTCTGTTCTGGTATTCTCCCCTGGGTCACCTCTGCCTCAGGCGCCTTATTTTACATGGAAGGCTCCTGATACTGTTTTTCCACTGCTCATTGCTCTTGAGTCCTTGTCTTCTCCAATGGTGTCATATCTTGGTTCTAGGATGTCCACCTGGTAACCAGAGTTTGGCATGACAAAAACCAAAGCCATTCCCCCCCACCTTCTTCATCCTTCATTTGAAACGTCTTTGCCACCACCTTACCTTCTCAAGTAGCGCTCTGTGCTTCCTGAGCGTACAGCCTTGTCGTCATCCTTCTCCCGTTGCTTTATCACCCACGTTCCGTCTGTGGCTGAATCTTTTCACTTTTGTAGATGTTGGGCACCTTAGCTTTGGTTCCAGGGCACTGTGGCGTCACCACTTTCTGCCTAGTTGTGCCTCTGTCCACATCTGTACTGTTTTAACTTGGAGGGACCTGCGAGCTTTCTGTACAACCCCTGGCATCCGCAAAGATTCTTGCTCGCACCTAATCCTTTTCAAACTTAGTTTTTTGAGCTGTTCTCCAAATAGTTGCTGAGAGTGCAATGTCAAAAGGGATCGAAGAAGCGAATGACAGAACCAAGAGATTAGGCTGGCAGATAGCGTACACCCAGGGGTGTAGCGCCATGCATGCCATTCTACTGCATGTTAATCTTCCTAGCGTCCTGGCAGAATCTGAGCTCGAAACAGTTCTCCTTGCAGTGCAAAATTGCGATCCCTATTCCAGAGATGCATCCAAATGTTGCTAGTGATGGCAAAGCCCAAAGTATCCAGATGGATGCTCGTGTGTTTTAGGTTTACCCGTGGCCACAGAGGCTACCTGGCTGCGTGCAGAGCAATGTGCGGTAGCAGGACTTTGTGTACTGCCACTGTTTACCAGCAGTTTTGCCTCAGACAAGAGGGAATGCTTTTGGAAACACGGAGACCCAGTATCCGTGTTAAAGTGCTAGAACAGCACTTAATCTGGATTTTTAATCCGAGTTTTTTGTTATCTGACTGGCAGGTGCATTGTTTTAGGTTTATATGCTCTTCTAGACAAAACCATTCTAAGCCTATGAAGCTAAAGTGTTTCTCAATGGGTCTTAGCAGTACGGTTGAGAGAATTGTTTTATTTTTGGAAGGTAACAGATAGTAGTGAGGAAGAAGAGAATCTCATAGGCCCAATGCCTGCGAAAGGACCAGTGGAGTGTGATGTGACTAAAGAATTTGAACGCAGAGCTCAGAGAATGAAGGAAAAGCTTACTTCAGCAGACAGTGTAAGTTGGATTTCTTAATTTCTGAGATTTTGTTGCTGGAGTGTATTTGTATTTTTCTTTGCCTGTTTCTGTGTGAACCCAGTTGCAGCTCTGCTCGGGATGCTAAGTGTTCACAATTGTTGAGGCAAGGAAAAATCCATGATTTCTGCTGGAAGCTAAGAGATTCAGACAGCAATTTCTGATTATGCTTTTTTTTAACTCTTCCCCCATCCTTTGCCCCCTGCCCCATTTCTTTTGTAAAGGATGAACCCAAGCAAGTTACCAGGGAATCGTGGATGACAGAGCTTCCACCGGAATTGAAAAGCTTTGGATTTGGCCCAAGGACATTTAAGAGAAGAGCTGATGACAAATCAGGCGATAGATCTATTTGGACAGATACTCCAGCTGACAGAGAGAGAAAAGCCAAGGTGAGCATTTATTCATTCATATACATCTGCAGGCAGTATGTATGTTGTTGATTCTATGATATTCTGTGAAAACAAAGTAAAGGTACCCCGAGTTGTTCAAGGAAATTTTTTTTCCCCAGTTTTTTGTTATCAAAGCTTACTAATTCAGGCTTAAAGGTAAAGGCAAGGAAATAACGATTTTAAGTAACATTGATATTCCTTTATTCCCACTCCCTTCTGCAGTAGTCAGGTACTCTGCCTCAGCTCATTGAATTTCCAGATACAGTGTGTCCGGTTTCTTTTATCAAGCTGAGCAAAAAATATCTGGTGGCCTCTACCCTGCAGATTTAATTACAGAAAATATAGATTTCCTTGCTTTTTACTTCAGACACTGTGATTACTATATCGTGTGATTTGCTTCTACTCATCAGGAAAGAGAAGAGTCAAAAAAGTCAACCAGTAAGGATAACGAAGAAATTGTATTATCTGGGAGAGACAAGAGATTTGTTGAGCAGGTGACTTCGTACAATGTAAGTGTAATAGCAAAATACTTCCTCTTCCTGCATTTCCTTTAATTCTTCATTCTTTTCTTCTGGTTCTCTCATTTCCAGCACTGCTGGTTTCCATGGTGATGCCACTACAGTCTTCCCTTTTAGTGCCTTTACTGCTGTTTAAGTCATTAGACTTCAACAAGAGCAGGATTGGGTCCTCCAGACACTGTTGAAAACCATATGATACAATTGGGGTTTGCATATATTGTCTCAGTTTTAGGTGGTGTTTTTCTTAAAAAGTCCTCATGTCAGGATGTGGTTGCTGGGTGCAGACAACCTTCGTTCAAATACCAGCTTGCTTCACCGAATCACCAACATCCCAAGAATAAAACCATAGTAAAGGTTTAACTTTTAGGACAAAATATGCATAAACTCAAAGGAAGCTTGATGGGCTAAGCAGATCACTGCGTTAATTACACTATGTAATTAATTGCATTAGCTGCTCATTACAACAGCATTGTTACATGAAGTTTTCCCCAGTCTCTGCAGAACCGGATAATTTTCACAGCCAGATGTTGATTACTAGAAATCTGAACTCCATGTCGGATTCCCTCTCACGTTTCTGTCTGCCAGCCCTGTCCACCAGAGTGCACGGACTGTTGCCTGCCCTACAGCTGTTCGTTCCAGTTGTTCCCTGATTTATGGCCTGAAGTCTTACGGAAGGCAGCCTGGTCTCTTGAGAGTGTAATTAACTTGGGAATCACAGCCGAGGCTTATGTTACATGATTGAAGTTTATCTGTCACTTTCAATTATTTATTTGTGGTTCATTAAATCACCTTTCCCTCTTAACTTAGAGGCTTGCAAATCCAAAGCTATTTGCTTGCTGTCTTAAATTTCTTCTGTATTGTCTGTTTCTACTGTCATTATGAATGTAGTAGAACAATTTTCATGTAAAACTACGGCTTTTGCTCTGTACCATTGTCAGAATAAAACATATGTAGGCCCTTATTGTTTCTAAGGTTAATGGAGTTCTCTCTCAAAAAGAAAAAAGCAAGCTTCTTGTTTAAGAACAATGTTTCTTGAGTTGTTTTGGTGGGTTTTTGTTTTTGTTTTTAAAATGAGCTCTTTCCTGACTTTCAGGTGGTTGATTTTTTTTTTCTTTTAATGTTTTTTCCTCTATTCTTTCCTATTTCTTTCTCCACTGACCTTTCTCAAGGATACTTTCACAGAACAGGAGCTTTAATTCTTCAAACAGTTTCTTACAGTTAATTCTTTCAGTGCTGATGCCCATAGACTTTCTCTGGTGCAATTCTGTCAACACTAACGCAGCTACACCATGAATAAGTATTGTCTATTTTCTGTTTTCCATGAGAATAATTTCTTATGTCATGTGTGAATTATTATTTGTATGTGTGATGAGGTAAGCGTTTGCACAAGGAGTGAAGGAAAATGAACCTTCAGAATAAAGGTCTTGTGTTCCTCGACATGAGAAAGCAGAGCTGCTCATCTTCAGCTCTTCCTGATGAGAGAATTGGTTTGGACTAATCTTTTGGCTGGTTTGTAATGATTCAGGAGTCTGAGAAATTGACTACTTAAGGGTACACAAACAGATTTTGCCTGAGTAAAGGAGGGGCCACGCAGTCTTGTGAGAACTAATCCTGCTTCTGTGTGAAATCAGCAAAAGTTTTATGTTGTATTTGGGCTGGATCATGCTTTTCAATAAACGCAGCTGGAGTCCTTGACTTGGCAAAACACGTGCTGTAGCTCAAACCTGCGACTTTGTCCTGTGGGCTTGCGACAGATGATTCAAATACTGTAAAGTTAAGAGCACACATTAGAAACACGGTAGTGCGTGAGAGTGAGATCAAAAGGGTACCTAGCCTGTTCCTGCCCCAGCAGTGACCAAACCCAGATGCTTAGGGGAAGCGTATAAGAAGCTGGGCCTGGACATTGAGATATTTCTCTCGACATGTTGTCTTGTCTCTGCTAGTAATGGGAGAGCAACTTTCATATTTCTTTTGCATTATTTTTATAATTGATCTCCACTGTCTGTGGAGATTCAGCAACATTATGGGTATCTTTAATGTCATGTTATTCAGCATAGACAAGATTACATGCTCTTTCCACTCTGCGTATGCTAAGTTTATTCTGTTTTCCAGTTACTAAGCTGTCTTCTTTTTCTGGAATTTTTAGCATTCCTAATTCCAGTCTTTCCATTTGAATTTTCTGTACGCTGTTGGTATTTTGTAATACTTTATTTCCTCTCCCTTTTTCCCATTTTTCCAGGAGTCAAAGAGGTCAGAGTCTCTCATGGACATACATCAGAAAAAGCTAAAGAGCAAAGCATCCGAAGAAAAGAACAAACCTCAAGAAAGAAGGCCGTTTGACCGAGACCGGGATCTCAAAGTCAATCGGTTTGACGAAGCACAAAAGAAAGCTCTTATAAGAAAATCCAGAGATCTGAATACTAAATTTGAGCATAGTAAAGGCAATATGTTTTTATAGCACAAAATGACGCTTTTGTGAAGTGAAGGCTATTAAACTTTGAATGCTTAATTTTTTAAGTATTTTTCTGTAAATATTTGTATGCAAAATAAATATCCTGATGTTTAACTATTTTCCCTTGTCTGTAAATACTGTGTTAGGGAGGATCATCTATACTAAAACTAAACTGGTAAAGAAAAGTCCTGGTATAGAAAAAGATAATGTAAATTTACTACTACAAGACATTGATATATTTTTTTTTTTGTTAGCATTAAAATAATTAATTAAAATAGGTATTATGTGAAGGAGCTCTAGATTTCGTCTTGCAATGGAGTTGGCAGTTTCCCCCTTTCTCCTACCATGCTTAAGATATTCTTGCTGAGCCTGACGTGAAGGCCACGGGAAAATCCCCTTTAGGCTCGTGGGCAGGACATTGCTTGACTGGAGTTCCTGCTGGGGAGTATATACTCAGATGGCAGCTTTTATGTCTGCCCAGCGCTTTCATCTCTATGATTCTGTGTATGTACATAAATACAGCTTTTTATGTGTGCAGTGTAATTTCTGTACTATAGCAGGAAGAGCTAGTGGTAGCAGAAGTAATAAAACCTCAAGATCTGCAGATTTAATTATAAAGTGGTTGTATACAAAAAGAGAAAAATCTAGTTTGACTTTCCATTCGTAGGACCTGTAATCAGAAAATCCATCTTTTTTAAACAAACACAATGTGAAAATCAAACCAAAATAAAGCTTATTTTGTCAGTTAGTTTGCAGAGCAGAACAGCTCTTTGGTATCAAAGAGGAAATAAATCTGGCCTTTAAAAAAATCTCCATCCATGCTTAGGGTTTCTTAGCTCTTCTCTGTGCGTGTGCAGAGCAGCTGAAGGGAGAGTTGTGTTACTTGTTTAAAATTAGACTTCTACTTTTGTCCTTTTTCTCTCTAGTTACTTTTGAGGAGTTACTGAAAGTATCTACATATGAAAATAATTTAATTTATGAGATGCTGGCAATTTGTTCGGAAGTGTGACACATTTTGTGTATTAAATACCATGGCGTTCACTGTAATTTGAAAAAAGGTGTCTGTGTTTGGTTCATGTTAACAGAGAAGTGACTCAACAAGCCTCAGAAGCGGGTGGCTAAAAACTTGGTCTTACTTTATTGCACATGTGTGTGAGCCCAAGGCACAGTCTCCACGTGCTGAGAAGTGTTGGAGAATTTTCAAGTCACAAATGAATGCTTATGTACAATGTATTTAGATACTGCTTTTTTTGTTTTAATAGACAGTTTATTTTGCCTGCTGAAAGATCTGCCTTCAGGAGGAAGAGGGACTAGTTTTGTATTGTGTTTGGGTTTTCTTTAATCAGTTTTGAGTTTTTGAGCCGTTTCAGTTTTAAGGTGAGAGGAGCGTTTAAACAAGGACCCTTGTTTAAACATTTATTTTTTTTCTCCTCTAAGACAGGGTTCTCTTAGTGCCTCGTGCTTTTTTGCCTCAGCAAGCGCAACCTCACTAGGTTTCTACCTTCTGAGTAGTCCCCTTCCCCTTTTAGCAGAGCTCCTCTGCAGCTGGGGGTTAAATAACATCTCTAGCAATTCAGCAAATGTAGATTTCTTAATTGGAAAGGCGGTATTAGGAATGTCTGGAGTTCTTTTAGGCAACTAAAGCAATGACACGGTGAGCATCACATGACTAGCTAAATCTTCATCGTTGACAAAAAATGATCCTCGTGCCCACTTTTGGAAACCCTACTGCCGTGAGAAATCTATTATCAGGTGTTGCCTTACACTGAAACCACTGATCTCGTGAGCACACAGTGCAGTCCTCACTCCTTCAGGCAAGCCTGTTGCAGGGCTGAGGGCTGCTTTTATTAACGTTTTGTTACTATGGTGTGCTTCGTTTTCAGTTTTGTTCTCTCTTCCACCCTCCTCCACACTGAGGACTGGTCATCAGTTGTCACAGGCGGCCAGATCTTGCCATCCAGCTGCATCCCTGCTGTTAGCTCGCTGCCCTCCCTGGCCCCATCACGGTCTCCTGCCCTCCCTACGGACGTGTTTGAGTGGAGGCTCTGCAGTGTTGCTCGAGGAGAGCTCTTGTAGCGGGAGTGGCGGCAGCCCCCTTGCAGTCGTGCAGCAGTCCGTTACACCTCCGTATGTGGGACATGAAGTTCATAATTAGTGAAGCCTTGGCGTGAGTTTGGAACGTGTTTTCCCTCATCTGCTTAACCTTTTTTGTCTGCTCTGAAGCAGCCGCTCCAAGGCTCAATGAAATCTGTGTAACGAACTTGAGATGAGGGGAAAGTGGAATCGTTGAGAGTTCAAATTAAGCTTTTCATTACTTTGTGTAAATTGAGTGTACTTTTGAATTGCATTAATACACAAACTAATTCCTCTTACCAATGCCAAACCATTCCCTCAAACAGTCATTAGAACAAGCAGTAACTCAGTAAATTACAAGCTCTGCAAGCTTTTGTGGGAAAAGATGAGCTGTCCTCTACAATTTGGACAAGCTGTAAAGCATTTCTGCGGAAATGTTAGTGGGTGATTTTTCAGAATCTCCATTTGAAAAAACAGAATTTATTTCACAGAAAATCCTCACCATAATTACTACGTAACGTTTCTAGTAACGGGCTCCCAACATAGTGTCTTGGTTTGAAAGACAGGTGT